CGGGGCCGGCCCCAGGGTGAGAGGTCAGGTGGGCCTGTCTTTCTGCACAGCCTCGGTCCCTTGCTCAGGTTCCTGGAGTTCAAGGGAGAGCCGGGAGGAGGGGCCCGATGCTTACTGGCTGATGATCATGGGTAGGGTCCTGGGCCCTGGTCACTGGGAAGGGTTTTCAGAAGTCTCCCCGGCATCCGAGCCTGAAAGAAGCTCCAACAAGCTTGGAGGTGCCCTGAGCTGCCTTTCTCTCACACCTACTTCCTGCCGCAGGTTGTCAATTAGGGGGCAGCTGTCAATCTCCAGAAGCCCAGGACCCAGTGCTCTGGATCATTTCCTGCTGAGGGACCAGCTGTAGAAAAGCTGTGGGGCGGCGTGGAAGCCTGGCAGGCCTGCCTGGCTGCTTGCAGAGATGTGGCACCCAGGCAGGGGACGAGTGCCAGGCATGTGGCTCTGAGTCCCTGTCCTGGAGGATGGGGCCGGGTTCCCCTGTAGGCCAATGTGTGACCCCAGGGGCAGCGGTGCACTGGGTGTGAGAGCCCCGGCTGCGAACCAAGGCGTCGCTCTTCCCCTGGCAGCGTGCTGGGAAGGTCCCGCAGAGCTCCTGTGAACGGGGGGCTCACGCAGCCGAGGTCTATCAGCTCTGGGGCTCTGGGGCTGGGTTGCTGTGGTGGTCGTGGTGAGCCAGCCTGTGTCCAGCCTTCCTAATGAGAATCGCCCCCACAGGGCCGGGAGACCGGAGGGAGGAGCAGGGCGGAGGGAACGCAGCTCGGCCTAGGCTGGGGTTCTACAGGGCAAGTGAGATGCACAGGCGCCGAGCTGTGAGGGGCAGGCGTGGTCTGGCACAGCTGGTGAGGGACGGAAGGAAGGGAATGTCCAGGGAAGCCTAGGAGGGAGGTGCCCGCTGCTCTGATGGGAGGAGCTGCGGGCAGGCACCGGCCGATCCTGTGCCTGAGGCTGTGTCTGCTGGGAGGCACCTGCCAGGAGGCCGACAGCCCCTCAGAGGGCCGCACCCCTGCTCGCCTCACGGGAGCTGCGGACGCATTCATCCCTAACCGACCCGCTTCCCCTTCCCAGTGACCTCCCCCACCCCGCGTGACCCCTCATGCTGCCCACCCTCTCCTAGGGCACCTCGGTGGTGCTGAGCTTTGCCCACACCCACACTCGGAGCTGGGCCTCTTGTCTCAGGCCGGCCCACCATCCACCGGTCCATCCTGTGTGTGCTGTCTGCTGGCCTGCTGCTGTCAGCCACCCTTGCTGTGCGGGAGGCCATGGCTCTGGGGACAGGGCCTGCTTCGGTGACGCAGTACGGTCCCCACTGCCTCTGTCTAGAGAACCTTTCCCAGGGGTGGGAGATCCTGGACACAGCTGAGGCGATCCTACCCTCAGAAAAGGGTTCTGGACCCCGTGAGGTCACGGCACCATCCCAGCATCGTTGGTGGGTAGGGGAAGTCAGGGATAAGGGGCAGCTCCCGCCCTGGGCAGCAAGAGAACTGGCAGTACTGAGTGGTCCTCACGCCCGCAGATCTGGCCGCAGCAGTCTCCAGGCCCGGAGGAGTCGAGGGAGACAAATATACGGGAAGTTCTATTCCCATCTCCCTGCTCAGTCCCTGGGTCCCGGGGCAGAGGCTGCAGGGCCAGGTAAGGTGAGTATAGACTTGCTTCCTCCATGTGCAGAATAACCAGGACAAGCAAGAAGACAGAGACAGGGCCCAAACGGGAGGCTGTGGAGTTGTGTCTCTGCCATAGCATCATCCACCTAATAAAGAGATACACATATACAAAGACTCCCACTCAGGAGGCTGAGGCAGGAGGACAGCCGTGAGTTCAAGGCTAGCCTGGGCTATACAGTGAGACCCTGTCTCAAACAAACAAACAAAAAGACAGTGGCCCTGGGCTGGAGGCCTGGGGTGGGGGACTAGTCAATCAGAGGTGAGGGGCGGGAGTGAGTGAGTTATGAAGTGGGGAGCTACAGGTACCCCGAGGCTATAAGAAAAGGAGACAGGGCCCAGGGTGACCTCTGGGGCAGGTGGGGGGTTGAGCAGGAGGGGTCTACAAGAAGGGCAGATTGCAGAAGGGGTGTCCAGGCCAAAAACGAGGGCATGTAGGTGGGGACCCTGGTTCAGCTAGGACAGGCTCCCCACTGGGGCACAGGCAGCAGGAGATGGATTCCTGAGGGATGAGCTGTCACCGTGGGTGGTCCTAACCTCCACATCTGGACAGGCCCCCTCCCTGTAAACACAGCTGGATGGCATCTGCGCAACTAGATCAAGGCATGGTGGGGGGCATGAGTTGGACACATACGAAGAAGTTCCCCAGAGCTTCCTTCCTCTTCCTGCCTGCCCGCTCCTCGAAGGGGGGCATTTCTTAGATCCAGTCTAGTAGAGCCTCGTGTCCCTAGAGTGGGTCCAGAACCCCTGGTCTGCTGCGGGCTGCTCTGCCTGTCAAGGAGGTGGGGTGGGGCCCTCCCGGGGGGCCCACCAGCCAGGGGTGGCTGATTCACTGGCGTGCTGTGAGTCAGGACTCAGGGCCTACAGCTTGTCTGGACACCCCCACTGGGTTGGGGGTGACTCATCTCCAGCTGAGCTCCCCCTGCCGTGGCACAGCTACCCCCGGTCTGAGGGAACCTGTCCACACCTCAGGCGGCAGCAGTCACTTCGCTGGTCGTTCCGGGACCGACCTGGGCCGGATGGGAAGCCCCCTCCCTGTCAAGAGCCTGGGGCTTCCCAGAAGCCACAAGGGGGGCTTTGACCTAAGCGGGTCAGGTCCTCCGGGAAGGCTGGGGCAGCCACCTCTGGGGCGCGGGTGCGGCGGCTCGCGTCCCCGCCCACCGCCCCTCCCCTCCCCTGCCCTGCCCTGCCCTCCCCAGGGATCTGGGACTTTTCTTCGGCGGTGCAGGGCGGGACAGCAGCCGCGGCGGCGCAGGGCGGGACAGCAGCCGCGGCGGCGCTGGCAGCGGGAGCGACTGAGGGGCGCGCAGGCAAGGCCAGGGCTTGGGGAGGGAGAGCGCGGGGCCAGGGGCAGAGGCAGGGATCCCGGCTGAACGTTTCTGTCGCTCAGGATGAGGCCCTGGCTCCTGGTGGCCGCACTCTGCGCGGGGATCCTGCTGGGGGCGCCCCGACTGCGGGCCCAACCTGGGGAGAGAGGTGGGCGCCCCGTCCGGCCAGCCCTCCCTCCACGTGGCCCTCGTCTCTGACGCCTCGACCTCCACGACCCCTCCCCCTCCTAATTCTCCTCAAACTCCCCAGACCCTCCGCAGCCCGGGGCTGGGCCGCCCGCGCCACCCCCTGGCCATCTGCATGCTGAGCCCTGCCTTGCGCTCCCCTGAGCTGGTCCCCAGGGGCTGACTTCAGTCCCATGTCCACACCAGAGCGCAGCGCTGCCCCCTGCATGCCCTGACCCTTAGCCGCGCCGTCTTGGGCCCCACGGGGTTCCCTCCCAAGGCTCCGAGGCTCGGGCCCCCGTCGGCTTGCTCTCCACCCCGACCCAGTCCCAGGGGGCCACAGGGCGGGAGGAGGGCTGTGGGCGCCCAGGAAGGTCACGGTCTTTCCTCGGGCTCCAGTGACCTGCACGCGCCTGTATGCCGCTGACATCGTTTTTCTGCTGGATGGCTCCTCCTCCATCGGCCGCAACAACTTCCGAGAAGTGCAGAGCTTCCTGGAGGGGCTGGTGCTGCCCTTCTCAGGGGCCGCTGGGGCCCAGGGAGTGCGCTTCGCCGCGGTGCAGTACAGCGATGACCCCCGGTGAGTGGGGCGGGGGAGGCGGGGCCTGCGGAGCTCACCAAGCCGGGTGGAGAGTCTAGACGCTCCTGAGCAAAGTCCTGTCAGAAACAGCATCTGAAGAGTCCAGAGAGCCCTAGCCAGGGACTTCCTTGGAGACGGGTCACTGTGGAGGGCACTTGTTCCGGGAGAGAACACTGCCCAACACAGAGACTCTCTGGTGTTTTTTTTTTTTTTTTGAGAGAGGGTCTTGCTATGCAATTCAGGCTGGCCTTGAGCTCACTTTGTCGCCCAGGCTGGTTTGAACTTGCAGAGATCCTCCTGCCTCAGCCTCCCGAGTGCTGGGATTATAGGCGTGTGCCACCGTGCCAGGTTGAGGCTCTGGTTTTGATCTGGGTGGATAGGCAGGAGGAGGGCTTGGCAGCCCCAGATGCCCGATGTCACTTGTACTCTCTCCGTTCTAGCTCCCTGACCCTTTCTGAATCTCTGTTCATCAGGAGCGCTGCCTGACTGGCCAAGCGCACCTCCCTGCAACCTCCTCCAGCAGTTATTTCAGTAGACATGCTGTCCCCCTAGACTGTGAGCCCCAGGGGCTCCTGACAGCGTGGGTCCAGCCACGGCGGTGCACACAGCTGTCCCTGGGATCTGTGAGCTTGGGAGCTTCAGGCAGTGAGGGCAGAAGTCACACATCCAGAGGCCTTGTAGGGCCAAGGTTGGAAAAGGTGCTTATGCTCCTCCTGGTGCCCTCCCTGCCCCATCAGGACGGAATTTGGCCTGGATGCGCTTGGCTCCGGGGGTGATGTGATCCGCGCCATCCGCGAGCTCACCTACAAGAAGGGGAACACTCGCACCGGGGCTGCGCTCCTCCACGTGTCCGACCACGTCTTCCAGGCCCAGCTGTCCCGACCTGCAGTCCCCAAGGTGATCCCCACCCTCCCCTGCTGCGGAGGTGACTCCCGAGGAGGGGTGTGAGGGAGCCCTGACTTGGCCCTGTCCCGCCTCAGGTCTGCATCCTGATCACCGACGGGAAGTCCCAGGACCTGGTGGACGCAGCTGCCCAGCGGCTGAAGGAGCAGGGGGTCAAGCTGTTTGCAGTGGGTGAGTCCTGAGCTGCCGGGAGGGTCAGCCGGGCGGGGCCCCGCAGAGGACACATGGGCGGCCAAGTCCTAACTGGCTGTGGCCTCAGGAATCAAGCACGCTGACCTCGAGGAGCTGAATCGAGTGGCTTCGCAGCCCAGCAGTGACTTCTCATTCTTCGTCAACGACTTTGGCATCTTGAGGACGCTACTGCCCCTCGTCTCCCGGAGAGTGTGCACAACTGCCGGGGGCGTGCCCGTGACCCTGCCTTGTGAGTTCCCGACACGCTGTGTGCCTGCCAGCGCCGGCTGGGAGGGCTGGGCCCCTCTCCTGTGCTTCTGATGCCCCCCTCCTACCTGATCACTCGGCCCCGTTTGCAGCTGATGACTTGACGTCCGGCCCCCGGGACCTGGTGCTGTCTGAGACGGGCAGTCAGTCCTTGAGAGTACAGTGGACCGCGGCTAGTGGCCCTGTGACTGGCTACAGGGTCCATTACACCCCTCTGACAGGGCTGGGTCAGCCACTGCCAAGCGAGCGGAAGGAGGTAAAGCTGCCGGGGGTGAGAGGGGGTGGCTGGTGCCGGGCTGGACAAGATGAGGTAGCCTGTGACCCCGGGCAGGTGAACGTCCCAGCCGGCGAGACCAGTGTGCGGCTGCGAGGTCTGCGGCCTCTGACTGAGTACCAGGTGACCGTGGTTGCCCTCTATGCCAACAGCATCGGGGAGGCTGTGAGCGGCACTGCTCGGACCAGTGAGTTCCGCGGCCCACCTTCGACCCTGCCACCTAACCACCTGGCCCCATGCCCCTGGCCCACTCTCCGCCCTGCTAATCTTTCCCCCAGCTGCCCTGGCGGGGCCAGAGTTGACCGTCCAGAACACCACAGCCCACAGCCTCCTGGTGGCCTGGCAGGGTGTGCCGGGCGCCACCGGCTACCGTGTGACGTGGCGCGCCCTCCGCGGTGAGTGGAAGGTGTGGGTGACGGGCAGCCCCACACTGCAGACAAGGCCGGGGAGCCCGGAGTCCGCAAGGCCCCTGGAACCCTCTGTGCCTCCACTCAGGGGGTGCCACACAGCAGCAGGAGCTGGGCCCTGGGCAGGGGTCCGTGCTGCTGCGTGACCTGGAGCCCGCCACGGACTACGAGGTGACCGTGAGCGCCGTGTTTGGCCGGAGCGTGGGGCCGGCCACTCCCCTCACTGCCCGCACTGGTGAGACGGCTGGGCCTTCCCTCAGGCTGGGGTGGGCTGGCAGGGGAGGGTGAAAGGCCGCTCATGTCCCGTGTGCCCCGGCAGACTCCTTTGTGGAGCAGACCTTGCGCCCTGTCATCCTGAGCCCCACAGTCGTCCTGCTTTCCTGGAACGTGGTGCCCGAGGCCCGTGGCTATCGGCTGGAGTGGCGTCGTGAGAGTGGTGAGTAGGGGGCGGGGGCGGGGGTCTAGGTGTGGCTTCAGCTGGCCTGATGCTGTCACCTTCTAGGTCGAGAGCCGCCGCAGAAGGTGGTGCTGCCCGCGGACGTGACCCACTACCGGCTGGCGGGGCTGCAGCCGGGCACTGAATACCGCCTCACGCTCTACACCCTGCTGGAGGGCCGCGAGGTGGCCACGCCGGCCATGGTGGTCCCCACCGGTGAGGGCTCTGGGGCCCGGCTGAGCGCTGGGGAGAGCGGGCAGCCCCAGGCCGCCTCTCACGCTGTGCCATCCCCAGGGCCAGAGCAGCCCCCGGGCCCGGTGAGGGACCTGCAAGCGGCTGAACTGCCCGGGCAGCGGGTGAGAGTGTCCTGGAGCCCAGTCCCCGGTGCCACCGAGTACCGCGTCACTGTGCGCAGCGCCCAGGGTGAGGCGAGGAGCCGGAGACCTCCCTGCCCGCGGGGGCTGAGTGCACCCTCCCTCTCCCTACCGCCTTCCTGTGGGTCCCCACGGCCTCTTCTTCGCTGTGTCCTTGTCCGTGTCCACCTCCCAAGGTGACACGGAACCCAGCACTGCCCCCAGCTCCGCCTGGCCCCTGCCTGCCCCAGCCGGTAGCCTTACCCAGCTCTGTCTCCACTCTTCGCCCAACTTCTCTGTCCGTGGCTTTGCTTTTGTGACAGGGTTTTGTTGTGTAGTTCAGGGTGGACTTTAACTCATTATGTAGCACAGGCTGACCTTGAACTTGTGGCGGTCCTCCTGCCTCGGCCTCCCACGTTCTGGGATCACAGGTGTGCGCCACCGTGCCCAGCTCTCTCCGTGGCTCTTGCCCTTCCTTCTCCACAGTCATGAGCTCTGTCCGCTTCCCTCCTGTGACCCAGCTGTGACCACTGTTGACACCTTCTCCCTTGTGTCAGCTCATGCTGACCTCTCTGTCATCATCAGTCTGCTGTTGACTTGAGCGCTGTCAGCCGCTCCTGTCTCCTGCGTGCCTTGCTCCCGTTCACTGCCTGTGTCTCCCCGGGCCCCCATTCAGCTCTGGCGCCTCTGCCCCGGGTCGTCTCTCCTTCACCTTTGTCATCTGTACCCCATTTCTCAGGCCCCACCACCCCGAGAGCCTGTCAGCCTGCCCCCCACTGGCTGCCACCATGCCGCGTGCCTGTCCCCGCTGACCCTATCTGCCGATCCCACCTTCTGCCTAGGGGTTGAGCGGACCCTGGTGCTTCCCGGCAGCCAGACTGCGTTCGACTTGGATGACGTGCGGGCAGGGCTTAGCTATACTGTGCGGGTGTCTGCTCGCATGGGCCCCCGGGAGGGCGGCGCCAGCGTCCTCACTGTCCGCCGAGGTGAGCACTGCAGAAAGCTTGGGGGACAGCTGATGGACTCAGTCCCGCCCTGGTGCTGATCCTGGGCTCCTGTCTGCCTTTGACCCTTAGAATCAGAAGCGCCCCTTGCTGCCCCAGTGCTTCGGGTCGTGCTGTCAGATGCAACCCGAGTGAGAGTGACCTGGAGCCCCATTCCTGGAGCCAGTGGATTTCGGATTAGCTGGAGGACAGGCAGCGGTCAGTGTGGGGTGTGCGGGAGGACTGCTGAGGGGAGCAGTCACAGTGTGGGGGCACGCTCCTGTGATCTCAGCACTTGGGAAGCTGAGGCAGGAGGAGCGTCGTGAGTTCAAGGCCAGCCTGAACTACACAGCGAGATCGTGTTTTTAAAAAATAAAATAGGGCCAGGCGTGGTGGCACATGCCTGTAATCCTAGCACTCAGGAGGCTGAGGCAGGAGGATCTTTGTGAGTTCGAGACCATCCTGGGCTATAAAGTGAGCTCAAGGCCAGCCTGAACTGCAGAGCGAGACCCTGTCTCAAATAAATAAATAAAATAAAAATAAAGAATAAAATAGGGCCGGAATATAGCTCAGCAGCACAAGTGCCTACCTGGTAAGCACAAGGTCCTGAATTCGATTCCTGGTACCAAAAAAAGAAAAAGAAAACCACAGTAAAAAAATAAAATAAAATGATAAAATGAAATAAAATAAAAGAGTGTGGGACTGAGGGGTAGGCAGCCACCATTCCCCTCTGACCCTAGGTCCTGAGTCGAGCCGGACGGTGCCTCCAGACTCTACCGCCACAGACCTCCTGGGGCTGCAGCCTGGAACGTCCTACCAGGTGGCGGTGTCGGCGCTTCGAGGGAGAGAAGAGGGCCCCCCTGGGCTCGTGGTGGCGAAAACGGGTCAGGGCCTGCGCCTGTCCCTTGCTTCTGCCTCCAGTGCCTCTGCAGACTCCAGGCCCTCCCTCAGGCCCTTCTCCCCAGAGTTTGTCCCCCTCCACATTCCCACCGCTTCCCCCTCCGCATTCCCACTGCTTCCCCCTCCACATTCCCACTGCTTCCCCCTCCACATTCCCACTGCTTCCCCCTCCACATTCCCACTGCTTCCCCCTCCACATTCCCACCGCTTCCCCCTCCGCCCCGGTGCCTCCCTGTAGCCCCTCCTTCTTCACCTCCCTGCCTTTCCTCAGAGAACCCCACTGTCTCTGGCCTCGGATTCCCTCATCCCGCAGACCCCCTTTTTTCAGGGGCCCAGCTCTCTTCTTAGACTTGAACTTTCTCTTTGCTGGACCCCCGCGTGCCTCCATCAGACCACCCCACCTGCCAGACCTGCTGTCTGAGACCCCTGTCCCCAGCCACACAGATGCCCACGGTCCCTTCTGTCAGAGCCCCCCGTCTGGTCCGCTCTCAGATCCCGCCCATTAGACTCCCGTACCCTCCTCTATCGGATGACAGGGCCACTTCCCCTCAGACCCTGCCTGACCCCGTCAGACTCCCCGTGGCCTCTCTCCTCAGACCCCCTGGGCCCGGTGAAGACCGTCCGTGTGACTCAGGCCGGGAGCTCGTCCGTCACCATTGCTTGGACCGGGGTTCCTGGCGCCACAGGATACAGGGTTTCCTGGCACTCAGGACGCGGTGGGGACCAGGGCTCTGGGAGGGTTGCGGGAGGCAGGTCGGGGAGGAAGGGGACCGGCGTTTCGGGGGGGTCTGGATAGGACACTGTGGGCGGGGTCTGGCTGGTCTTGGAGCTGCGTCCATCTCTGCCCCCAGGTCCAGAGCAATCTCAGCTGGTGTCTGGGGAGGCCGCAGTGGCTGACCTAGACGGGCTGGAGCCGGACACGGAATATACGGTGCACGTGAGGGCCCATGTGGCTGGTGTGGAAGGAGCCCCTGCTTCTGTGGTTGTGAGGACTGGTGAGTGGACCCCGGCCAGCGGCTAGCCACGCCTCATGGGCTGGCCCGCCCCGCCCTGCTGTGCATTTCTGTCTGCTCCACCTGCCCAGGTCGTTGCTGTTCAGTGACCGCCATTCCCCGCCAAACCACCCCTGTTGGCTGAGTTTCCGCCCACAGAGAACTCATGGCTGCCCCCCACCACCCAGTCTAACGCTGACCTCCCTCTTGCCGTGCCGTCCGCACGGACCGCACCTAACCTCCAGATGCCCCTGCTTTGACCCTGCCGGCCTGCACGGCCACCGACTTCTCTCTGCCGGATACCCAGACACCCCAGTCCCTCATCTCCCCTCTGTCCATAGCCCCCGAGCCGGTGGGCACTGTGTCCGAGCTGCAGATCCTCAATGCGTCCAGCGATGTCCTGCGGGTGACCTGGGTCGGGGTCCCTGGAGCTACAGCCTACAGACTGGCTTGGGGCAGGAGTGAAGGTCTGGCTCCCTGACTGCACTCTGCCCTTCTTGGCTGGGGCTGCCCTCCGGTGAGCCACCCACGCTGACAGGTGGCTCTTTGCTCGCCTGGCCAGGTGGCCCCACCAGACACCAGATCGTCCCAGGAAACACCGACTCTGCGGAGATACGGGGCCTGGAAGGTGGCATCAGCTACTCAGTGGGAGTGACTGCTCTAGTCGGGGACCGGGAAGGCGCCCCTGTCTCCATTGTCGTCACCACGCGTAGGCGGACCGGGGCTTGGAGGGGAAGGGAGGGAAGGGGGCGTGCGGTTGGAAGAGGGACCGGGGATTGAGGCTGGGCCTGTGGGGCCAGGTCTGCGAAGAGAAGGAGGGAGCCTGGGACAGGCAGAAGGGCTGGCTGCGGAGATGCGTGTGTGGGGTCAGGTGGGGCCCAGACTCCCGTGCTCTCTCCAGCGCCCGAGGCGCCCAGCATCCTGGAGACACTTCGTGTGGTGCAGCGTGGGGCACATTCTCTGAGGCTGCGCTGGGAGCCGGTGTCCGGGGCGCGCGGCTTCCGGCTGCGCTGGCGACCCGAGGGTGAGCAGTGTCCGAGTGGGAGGCTCGGGCGGCGGGGTCGGGGCGGAGGTGGGCGTGGTCGGCTCAGCCCTGTCCTGGGCACTCAGCAGGTGAGCTCAGTTGGGTGGTGGGATCTCTGAGGTCACCGAGAGCGAATGGGTAGGGTCAGTGAAGTGGGCATGGGTTAGTCACCTAGAATGAGGGCGACCAGTCAGAGTGGGGACTGGATGGAGAGGCGGTGAGGGCCGTGGGGGTTGTGAGATGGGCAGGCCGTCAGCGATGCGGCGGTGCCTGCCCACCTGCCTCTGGCCCTCACCCCCGACTTGCCCTAGGTGGTCAGGAGCAGTCCCAGTTCCTGGGGCCTGAGCTCAGCAGCTACCACCTGGACGGGCTGGAGCCAGACACGCGGTACCAAGTGTGGCTGAGCGTCCTGGGGCCGGCGGGGGAAGGGCCTCCCGCGGAGGTGACTGCGTACACGGGTGAGTGCAGTGGGCCCACCTGCTTGGCGTGCTCCTCCCCGACGGATGACCTGTCGCGATTTCCTGCACGCCAGATTCAAGTGACTCCTGCCCCCGATTCCTGTGACTCCGGGGTCATGCCAGCACCCCTCATGCTGAGCCTGCCCTGGATCTCAGCTCTCTCTCCCTCGGGTTCTCAGGACACAGCCTCTGACCCCTGCTCCCTGACTCCTCTTTCAGGGTCGCCTCGTGTGTCAAGCCCTGAACTTCGTGTGGTGGACACCTCAGTCGACTCAGTCACTCTGGCCTGGAGCCCGGTGTCTGGGGCATCCAACTACGTCCTGACTTGGCGGCCACTGAGCGGCACTAGCTGGGGTGAGGAGGAGCCAGTTTGGGGTGGGCTCACAGCGGGGGCTCCACAGAGGTCCTCTTGTTTAACCAAGTCCTGTTCTCTGCAGATGTGCCTGGGACCCCACAGACACTTCCAGGGAGCTTGAGCTCCCAGAGGGTGACAGGGCTACAGCCTGGGGTCCCCTACGTCTTCTCCCTGACGCCCGTCCAGGCGGGTGGACGGGGCCCTGAGGCCTCTGTCACGCAGAGCCCAGGTAAGGAGGGCACAGTGGCAGAAGGCTAGGCCGCAGGTGGACGGGGCGGCCAGCAGCAACTTGGCTACTTCCCGCAGTGTGTCCTCACGGCCTGGTGGACGTGGTCTTCCTGCTGCACACCACTCAGGACAGCGCTCACCGTGCGGAGGCTGTGAGGCGGGTCCTGGAGCGCCTGGTGTCTGCACTTGGGCCCCTTGGGCCTCAGGCCGCCCAGGTTTGGCCCAGAGGCAGCAAGACCCTATCTCTCCGCGCCCCTGCCCACCCCAGGTCCCACACCAGCCTTGTCGCTACCCCACCATAAGTCAGGCGTTCTCCCCCTCTCTCCAAGCGGCAGACCCTCTTGCCTCTCCTCCCATCACGGCCGACCCCTGATAAGCAGCTCAGGTTTAGTCACACCGGCGCCCATTTCCGTTTCTGCGGCCCCTGGGCACCCTCAGCCCTGCTCTGTCACGCGCCCAGTGGTCTGTGTCTCCCCGCCCCAGGTTGGCCTGCTGTCGTACAGTCACCGGGCCTCACCACTGTTCCCACTGAATAGTTCCCACGACCTGGGCGTCATCTTGCAGAAGATCCGTGGCATCTCCTACGCAGACCCAAGCGGGAACAATCTAGGTGAGAACTGCGGTGGGTGTGGCCTGGGGGCTTCCCCATGCGGGGCCGGTGTCCCGGCTCTGACACGCCCTTCCTCTCAGGCGCGGCTGTGGTTGTAGCTCACAGACAGCTCTTGGTACCTGATGCTCCTGGGCGCCGTCAGCAAGTACCAGGGGTGATGGTCCTGCTGGTGGATGAGCCGCTGAGAGGGGACGTATCCAGCCCGATCCGCGAGGCCCAGTCTGCTGGTGAGCAAATGGGCGGCGGGGCTGGGGCCTGGGAGTCGGGGTGAGCTCGGTGGAGCTGCCTTGCACGCTGCTGACCCCTCCGTAGGGCTCAAGGTGATGGTGCTGGGCTTGGCGGGAGCCGACCCCGAGCAGCTGCGTCGCTTGGTGCCGGGCACAGACCCTCTCCAGAATTTCTTCGCCGTGGACGATGGCCCAAGCCTGCACCGGGCAGCCGGTGACCTGGCAGCAGCCCTGTGTCAGGCAGCCGTGGCCGTTCAGGTTTGGAAGCAGCCTCTGGGGGGCTAGGGGTGGAGAGGAGGGAACCCGGGCCCCTGGTAGCTCTGCGTGGCTCAAAGAGACCTCCTGTCTGCAGCCCCAGCCGGGACCTTGCTCCGTGCATTGTCCAAAGGTGAGTGGAGCAAAGGGGGTGCGGGCGTGGCCCCCGACCGCCTCTCCAGCCTCACTGCGGTGTCTCTCCCCAGGGCCAGAAGGGCGAGCCTGGAGAGGCGGTGAGTGGGCGAGCCTGTGCGGGTGTGGAGTGGGCCGGGCTCAGCGGGCCGGGCCGCGGGCGGCGTGATGCTCACGGGTTTCCTTCCCAGGGCCCGGAAGGACGAGCTGGGCCCCCCGGCGCCCCTGGTCTCCCGGTGAGTGCCTCCCTGTGCCTGGCCCTGCCCTGACTGGCTGTCCGCCTCCTTACCTGCTCTGCTCTCTCAGGGCAGGGCTGGCGCTCCTGGTCCCCAGGGTCCCCCTGGGCGTGCTGTTGCCAAGGGCGACAGGGTAAGTGAGACGCTGTCGTGCCTGGCCTGGGCCGTCCTTCCGGCGTTCTCAGGGGGTGTAGGGGGAAGGAGGAGGAAGCGGAGCTGAACCACAGAGGGTCACAGAGGTTCTCAGAAGCCTGGGCAGAGATTATAAGCCACGCCAGAGGACCGGGGGGCGGCTCTGAAGCGGGGGTGCCACGGGGCAACAAGATCCCTTAGACAGTCTGGGTGGCCGTGCCAGGTCCCGGAGGCAGGAGGGCCCTTTGTCTCACCTCGGCCGTGTGCCTGGAATTGAGGTCCATTCACCGGGGAGGGGCCGCTTCTCTGCCTGACGACACTTGGCCTGTGGGACAGGAGCTCCTGGTGGATGGGGTAGTCTCTTCCAGACAACCAGGCCACTGGGGTGGGGTTCCCTTCCTGCCCTGACCTCTTTGCCTCCTTAGGGCTTTCCTGGAGTGGATGGGGCTCCAGGCATCCCTGGTCATCCTGGGACTCCTGGGACCCCTGGTCTGAAGGTGAGGAAGCCTTACCTTGTACATCGTCGGGGGACGAGTCCTTGAGTGGGTGGGGTGCTTCTAACTCTGTCCTCCATTTGCAGGGCGCCCCAGGGCTGCCCGGCCCTCGTGGGGAACCGGTGGGTACCTTTCCTTCTTTACCGTCCTAGTACCTTCCCAGGGTTTTCCTACAGTGTGGGGAGTGTGGGGCAGGAGGGTGTTGGCCTGTGGAGCCCATTCTGAGACTCACCTGAGCCTGAGCGCCTCCTTCTGTTCTGCTTTGTCCTTAGGGAGAGCAAGGACCTCGAGGCCCGAAGGGGGAGCCGGTAGGTGAAGTTTGTCGGGGGGCTGTGCCAGGTAGGGACAGGGTTGCCTTGAGCCAGACCCTGGGCAAGGCCTGAGGCGTGCTGGGGCACTTTGGGGTCTCCCACCCTGACTCCTGTAATGGTGCTCTCTGCCCCTGCAGGGCGAGCCCGGGCGTGTCACTGGAGACTGGGGACCAGGGCTTCCTGGCAGAAAAGGGGACCCTGGACCTTCAGTAAGTCCCAGGGTGCGTCGGGGCTGGTGACGCGTGCTGGGAGACGGATGGAGGGGCGAGGGCAAGGTCTGTGGGGTTGCACCTTATCCTTCGTCTCCTCCATCAGGGCCCCCCTGGACCTCGCGGCCCCCCAGGGCTTCCTGGCACAACTGTAAAGGTAACATCAGGACCCCATATGGGTCTCAACCTCCATGTGACTCAGAGATCTGGTGACCCCACTGGGACCCACACTGCCCTGCTCTGATCTTGAGACCCGCACCCCTTTCAGAGCTCCTCAGTTCCCCTATGATCCTTACACTCCAATTTGACCCACGAACCTCGTCCTTTTTGTACCTTGGGGCAGGGGGTCTGTCCAGGGTCACAGGATCCTGATCTGTCTTTCAGGGCGACAAAGGCGATCGTGGGGAACGGGTAAGTGAGGGTGAAGGGATGCAGCGGGCGGCTCGGAGTCAGAGCCCCCGGGCCGTCCCCTGAGCTGCTGTTCTCTCCCAGGGCCCGCCTGGACCGCGGATTGGTGGCCCTGCTTCTGGGGAGCCTGGGCTGCCGGTGAGGAACTCAGAGAAAGTTCTCCGGGGGTGGGCAGGGTCAGGGGGCTCTACCGGGGCAGCATCAGGGTGCTGGGCTTCACAGCTCTTAGCTCTCACGTCCCCTCCCTTTCTTCTAGGGTCTTCCTGGAAGCCCTGGGCCCCAAGGCCCAGTTGGCCCCTCTGGAGAGAAAGGGGAAAAGGTAGGACACCCACCTCTTGATGTCCCTGTTCTGGAGCAGGGTGCCGGGGGCAGGGCATCCCCTGGATCTTCCCACCTTCTCCTTCAGGGTGACTGTGAAGATGGAAGCCCCGGCCTCCCCGGACGATCTGGCCCCCCGGGCGAACCGGTAAGTTAGAGGCCAGGGTTCCGAAGGTGGTGGGCATAGTTCCAGTTCCCACCCTCGACCACCAACCCCTGCCCCTCTGCACGCCCAAACCTGTGCCTCTGAACTCCCAGTGCATCCCTTCCAGGGTCTTCGGGGACCTCCTGGAATCACTGGCCCCAAAGTGAGTGATAGCTGTGGGACCAGATGTGAGGGGTGACGTTCTGGGACCCCCATCATATTAGGGGAGGATGGGAGGTCAGGGGGTAAAGATTCTGCCCGGGCCAGGGGCGGTGGGTTCACTGGGGCTGCTGGAGTTTGAGACACCCTGTTTGGGGCTCACTGGGTAAGGCCTCTCTCCTATCCTGTCTCTTCTCAGGGTGACCGGGGGCTCACAGGAGCCCTGGGTGAGACTGGAGCAAAGGTAAGTGCGGTCCGGGGCGCTCTCGGGGACCAGGAGAATCTGCAGCCACACTCCGCTCTGACCTCTTCTGTCCTGTCAGGGTGAACGGGGACTCCCTGGCCCAGCGGGACCCCAGGTAAGCCCGTGAGCACACCGGTGCCAGCTGCCGGTGGGCTCTGTGTCCACTCCCGGCCCTGGCTTTGCCCTTGATACCCACTGGTCCTCCCCCTGCATCCTCATGTCACTCCGTTCCTGCTGACCAGGCTTCTGCCTGGCCTCCAGCTCTCACTGTCTGACCCTGCTGAGCTGACGTGGTACCAGTCTAAGTCCTGGCCGCCACTGCCTCTGTCCAGCTACCCCATTCCTGCCCCTCCCCCCTTTGCCCGTAGCCTCCTACCCACCTGGAGTGGCACTTGTACTTCTTTTCCCCAGGGGCCACCTGGGGCTGCCGGACATCCTGGAGCCAGGGGTCCTGAAGTGAGTCTGTGACTGGCAGGGCCAGGAGTGGGGCTTTTGTATGTGCCCCCCGCCCCGCTTTTCCTGGGCTCACGCTCTATCTGCATACAGGGGCCACAAGGACCTGCCGGCCGCCGAGGAGAGAAGGTGGGTCGTGGGTGGGGGACATACTGCTTGGTCGTAGGGATGTGGCAGGTGGGACGCTGGGACCTGGGCTTCCTGGGAGGGTCTCTGACCTGTTCCTGCCCCTGTCTTCTTTCTACAGGGAGAACCTGGTCGTCCTGGGGACCCTGCAGTGGTGGTGAGTGAGTGGAGGATGGGAGGCCTGTGAACCACTGCTCCAGGTGGTGACCCCGCAGCCGTGGGACTCTGGGCAGGCGCCGCCCTCTGTGACCCTTTTTGTGCTGTAAGCTGCCCCAGGCTCCTGGCTGTGACCTTCTGACCCTGCAACAGCCATAGTAGTCACGGGCTTTGTGCTAGCTCATCTTCTGTATCCTTCACCCACCTCTGTGGCAACCCTCCGTGGCTGAGCAGGGGCTGAGCTCTGTGACCTCCAGCTCCACGTAACTGCTGTCCCAGTCAAGCTCTGGTCCTCTGGTCCCCAGATGGGGCCAAGCTGGGTCTGACGTGTTTGTTTTCAGACACCTGCTGGTGCTGGAGTCAAAGGAGAGAAGGTACGCGTGGTGAGAGGTTGTTACAGGGTGAGGTCAAGGTGATGGGCGGCTGCTGGGCCGACCTGAGCGTCGCGGGGTTGCCGCGTGATTTCCGGCTTGCGGTTGTGCCTGGAACTGGGTACCAGCACTGCTGTTTTTGTCACCTTCAGGGAGAGATGGGGCCTCCTGGGCCCAGAGGAGCTGCCGGCGTCAAAGGCGGACCGGTGAGTGAAGGGAAGGTGTTAGGGGTGGGGCCTGTGAAGGCTTTGCCCGTCTGACTTCTGTCCTTCCACCCACAGGGCCCGCCTGGGCTGGCTATGCCTGGAGATCCTGGCCCCAAGGGAGACCGTGGAGAGCGGGTTAGTGCATGTGGAGGTGGGGGTCTTGGCAGAAGGAAAAGTGGTATCTGGGAGCCGTGACTAAGCCCTGTTCCCCTTCTTACCCCTTCAGGGTCCCGTGGGCCTCACTGGCAGAGCAGGACCCCCAGTGAGTATCTGTGACCTTGGGTGACACTGCCTTTCAAAGGCTGCATATATTCTGTGTCACCTCATTCCTGTCTCCCCCGTAGGGTGACTTAGGGCCTCCCGGAGAGAAGGGAGACCCCGGGCGGCCCGGCCCTTCCGGACCGGTTGGCCCCCGAGGACGAGAGGTACGAGTGGGGGAGTCGTGGGAGACAGGGGAGTAGGGGCCTGGCACGGCTGGGGGTCGGGAGCCAGGGCTGAGTCTCATGTCTCACAGGGTGAAGTTGGAGAGAAAGGTGGCGAGGGTCTCCCGGTAAGGCTTCTCCCCGCTGTGGCTTCTGACCCTTTACCCCTAAGCTGTGACCCCCACCGGGTCATCCAGTCCGTCCTCTGCCTCCTGTCCAGCTGGTGCCCCCATTCCTTGAGTGAGGTAGACCCTGGCTCACCTGTACAGTGTGACGGTTCTGTCTATCTCCAGGGCGACCCAGGGCTGCCTGGGAAGGCGGGAGAGCGAGGCCTTCGGGTGAGTGTGGGCCGGAGGGAGGGCGGTGGTGGAAGCGCTGGGGCACGGAGGTGACAGAGGTGCGGAAGGAGGGAGGGGTGGGCGACGCTGCAGGGAGGGGTGGGGCTGTGGGAAACCCTGGCGTGGATTGTGGGGCAAATGGCAGTCTAGGTGTTTTTGAGAAAGCTGCAGAATGCTGGGAGGGTCTGTCTCAGACCAGATGCTCTTCTTAGGGGGTGCCTGGAGCCCCGGGGCCTGTGGGTGAGAAGGGAGACCCCGGAGACCCTGGAGAGGATGGGCGAAATGTGAGTCCCGACCTTGACCCCTTACTCCTGAACACAACCAACCTCAACTCCCCAGTCCTCTAATTCGTAGCCCTGGTCCTGCCGCCCCCAACCTGAGCGCTGGCCTTCTCAGTTTCCCCTTCTGTGACCCTTTCACCACAAAGACCGCCAGGACCCCAGGAGTCCCCATGTACTTCTTTTTTTTTTTTTTCCCGGTACTGGGAATCGAACTCACTACCTTGCGCTTGCCAGGCAGGCGCTGTGCCGCTGAGCTAAATCCCCAGCCCTGAGTCCCCATGTACTTCTAAAGCGTCCCCAACCTGCTCCCTGCCTTGAGTGATCCTGACCCCTGACTTTCTGCAGGGCAGCCCTGGACCGTCTGGACCAAAGGGTGACCGTGGGGAGCCGGTGAGTGGGGCTGGCCCGGGCTCAGGCAGGAAGGAGAGCTCCCCAGTGCTGCGGCCCGTGCCGGTCAGCGTCTGCACAACCGGCCATCCCGGCCCGGCCTGCCTTCTCAGAGATGGCCCTGGGTGCTGCGTGGGATTTAGGGGCAGAGTTGAGCCTGAGGCAAACCTGACCATGTCCTGGGACCTCAGGGCTCGGGTTGACTGGATCCTTTCCTTTCCCAGGGCCCCCCAGGACTCCCCGGACGACTGGTAAGTGTTGAACGGGATCTGGCCCTGTCGCCTCCTTCACCCTCTGCTGACACCACCCTGCGTGCCTCACCCTTCCCACTGCTGTGCCCCCCACACCTCCAGTGACCCTTGTAGCCCCGCACTGACCCCATCTCCGCTCACCAGCCATCCCCGTCACTGCAGCATTCTTCTCTGGTGCTCCCCACAGGTGGACACGGGGCCTGGAGTCAGAGAGAAGGTACTGGGCCTGCGGGCGGAGTGAGTGCCGGGCTGGGAAGGACCCGGTACCCTGCACAGCAGGTCCTGCCTCGAGCATGCTCAGGGCTCCGGCATTGTGTTCTTAGCAAGCCTGTCTCTGCATAGGGGGAGCCTGGCGAGCGTGGACAGGAGGGTCCTCGAGGACCCAAGGGTGACCCTGGCCCCCCTGGAGCCTCTGGGGAGAGGGTGAGTTGGTTGGCCTTGCGGGGGAAGCGGGCCTGGGAAAACCTGCTCTGACCCGGCCTCCCTCTTCCTCAGGGCATTGCTGGGCTTCGAGGACCGCCAGGCCCACAGGTGAGTGCTGCCCTGTGCCCCGTCGGCCTACGCCCCATCTTGCCCTGACCTCTCGTCCGGCCTTCTTCCCTCCAGGGAGACCCGGGTGTCCGAGGCCCAGGAGGAGAAAAGGTGAGATGGGATTGTTTCCGCTGGGCCTGGCTCCCGCACCCAGCTCATCTTCACAGCCTCTGACTGCTCTGTTGTCCTCAGGGTGACCGGGGCCCCGCTGGGCTGGATGGCCGGAGCGGGCAGGACGGCAAACCGGGGGCACCCGGCCCGCCTGGGGAGCCTGTGAGTTGTAGTAATCAACTTTGGGTGGGGCTGGGGATGTAGCTCAGCGGCACAGTGCCTGCCTGGCAAGCTCAAGGTCGTGAGTTCGATTCCTGGTACCAGAAGAAAAACAAAAACAAAACAACTGCGTTCGCTCCCTTCCTATAGCCCTCAGAGGCGGGTGGAGACCCCAGCCTCATCTCCGTCCTGAGCCCCAGGGCCAGGCGTGCGGTCTGTCCACTCCCAGAACCCGGCCTGGGAAGGACATGCTGCTGCCGCTGTTGGTCTTGGGTCCTGGGAGCGAGTGCCTTCAGCGCTGGAGCCCCAGGCCCCCGAGCCTGACTTTGAGTCTTTCCTCAGGGTGCTGTTGGCAAAGCTGGGGAACCAGGGAGAGACGTAAGTGAGGGGAGCACTGGGTGGAGGTGGCTGAGGGGTCCTGTGAACCCCAGCCAGGCCATCACCGTCACAGTATCCACCAGAGCAGGGCAGTTCGTCCTGCTCTGGCTATGGGCGGGGCTGCAGGCCTCTGGCTGGCTGGTTTTAGTAAAGTCCCCCTTTCTAAAGTCCTTTGTCCTCGGGATCATAAGAGGCCCCCCAGGTTCTGGAGAATTTTCCCTGGAGAGTCTCAGCAGGGGTCCCCTTAACCCATGGATCTGTGCCTCAGGGGATCCCGAGGGATCTCCCAATCTTGGGGGTTTCTATAGTGGAAGAGAATCACTGGGGGGTCCTCCCAGCCCACAGGGTGTTCCCAAGAGATATCTCTGGGGCCCCCTCAATCCTAGCAACAACTTTTTCCAGGGGCTTCCAGGCTTCCGAGGAGAGCACGGCCCCCCCGGCCCCCCCGGCCCCCCTGGGGCACTGGTGAGTCCGGGCTTTCGTGCTGCCTTCTGCCCCTTCCTGCCCACCCTGAATGGCGACAGCTGACTAATGCCTGCTCCCACAGGGAAAGCCCGGCGAGGACGGCAAACCCGGCCTGAACGGGAAGAACGTAAGTCCAGGGCAGCCGCGGCAAGACCCGGCGCAGAACGCCGCGCTTACAGCCCAGCACAGACCACACACAGAGCACCGCACTCACACCCGCACACCCCGCCCGCGCGGGCGGATGCGTCCCACGTGTGCACGCAGGCAGCCTTGCAGACACACAGCGGACGTGGCCTGTGCCCAGCTGGGCTGAGCCACGCTGAGACAGCCCACAGCCGCGAGCACAGGCCCAGGCCTCCAGGTACAGGTGGGGAAGTGCAGACTTGCGGGCGTGTGGCCCCATTCAGGGGCGTGTGGCCCCATTCAGCGACGTGTGAACGTACGTCCATACATAACACTTCCCTCAGACGTGTGCTAAGATATGGGCCCGGGACTGCATGGGTCCTGTGCTGAGACGCGCATCCATGACGGTGCCGTGTGACACACTCAGGGACATGCTGACACATGCCTTTTTGCCACCAGTCACTCACGTACAGATCCCCATGCACACTGAAGCGTACCGGATCTGCAGACAGATGCCAAGGCACACACTTCCCAAGGCACTGGAGACCGGGGTGTAGCTGCACGAGCCCATGCGCAGTCATGGATCAAGATATGCGCAGAGACTGAGGTGCACAGCACCTCCACAGCACACAGACACACGGATACGCACACCCCCAGACACACGGGCACTCAGCCACCCGGAGATGCATGGCTGTGGACTTACACCTAGAAGCCAGAGAGAGGAGGCCATGTGCAGGGCCATGCAGAGGGGAGCAGGCTCATCCAGACACGCCCCTGGACAGGTAGCAGCTCACCGACTGGGCACGCATCACCCCTAAGACACGCACAGCCATGGAGTGAGGCACAGGCATTTGGTCATGGTCATCTGAGATCTGCTGAGACAGTTCACTGAAGCCAGGCGCTAGTGACTGTGTAGGCTGATATGAGTCTTCTGCCCCCAGGGACAACCTGGTGACCCCGGAGAAGCTGGGAGAAAGGTAAAGCCCCGCCCCTGAGCTTGCGCTACCCTTGGTTTGTGCCCTGTCTGAAAAACGTTTCTCTTCCTTAGGGGGAGAAAGGAGACTCAGGCGCCCCGGGGAGAGAAGTGAGTGCTGTGCCTTCCTTATCCTCTGACCCCTGATCCTGACCTTGTGAGATACGGTGCCACTCTTCTCTGGGGTGTCCTGATCCTGGCTACATCCTCCACAGGGTCACGATGGCCCCAAGGGTGAGCGTGGAGCTCCTGGGAGCGCTGGACTCCAGGGCCCTCCAGGTCTTCCAGGGCAGGTTGGCCCTCCTGGCCAGGTGAGTGTCTAGGGCAGTTCTGGGACTTGGTTGTGATCTCCTGGGTCCCCTCCTGGGATTCCGTGATCCTGTGTGATCCCTTTGTGTTCTATCATATCTCAGGGTTTTCCTGGTGTCCCCGGAAGCGTGGGCCCCAAGGTCAGTGTGTGTGTGCTGGGTAGGGGCTATAGCCTGGGGCTGGCCAGGGTTGGGAGACATTTTCTCCCCCTAATTGTTCTTGTTCTCAGGGTGACCGTGGGGAGACTGGATCGAAAGGACAGCAGGTAAGGCCCCGATCTTTTTTACCTGCCTAGGTAACCGTAGCACCCACATTTACATATACACGTGCCCTGCTGGGTCCTAGCGGCCTGTCTTGATCTCTCCAGGGCCTCCCTGGAGAACGTGGCCCCAGAGGAGAACCTGGGAGTGTGGCGGTGAGCTGAGCTCAGGACCTGGCCCTTGTGTTCACGTGCACGCCCGTGGGGACCCCTCTCAGCCCTTCTCCTTCACACGAGGCTCCTCAGGACTGCTGCGCTGGGTCCCCTGTCTCAGCGGGTTCCTGTCGCCTACACTCAGGGGGACTGGGACAAGGGCACATGCCAGGGGGGGAATCCCCATGGCCTCCAGCCGGGCCTCGGCTGAGGGGTGGGCAGAGGGCACAGAGGTCTCTTTCTGGGGTTAGATGGGCCAGGAGGCAGGGGCCTCTCTTCCGCGGGCACCCCTGACTAGTCTCTTGTCCCCAGAACGTGGCCCAGGTGCTGGAAACGGCTGGCATCAAAGTAGGTCACTTAGGGCTGGGTGGGCGCGGGGAGGGCTTGGGAGTGGGCACGGCAGTTACGGTCTCTGCCCTCTGACTCCTTGCTATGCCTCAGACGTCTGTCCTGCGGGAGATCGTGGAGACCTGGGATGAGAGCTCTGGCAGCCTGCTGCCTGTGCCAGACCGGCGTCGAGGCTCCAAGGGGGACCCGGGCGAGCAGGGTCCCCCAGGCAAAGAGGTGAGCGGTGGCTGTGACGGGACGTGGCCTGTGGAGGGCACCAGCGCACAGCTACCAGCACTTGCTCTTCCGCTCCCGCAGGGTCCCATCGGCTTTCCTGGAGAGCGTGGCCTGAAGGGAGATCGTGGAGACCCCGGGCCCCAGGGGCCACCTGGCCTGGCCCTTGCAGAGAGGGGCCCCTCTGGGCCTCCTGGCCTTGCCGGCGAGCCTGGAAAACCTGGCATTCCTGGACTCCCAGGCCAGGCTGGGGCTGTGGGAGAGGCGGGGAGGCCAGGAGAGAGGGTGAGCCTGGGGCTGGCCAGGCGGGCCAGGGGCGGGGCGCTTGGGGAGCTCGGACGCCCCTGTGAGCGCAGGCTGCTCTGCTGTTTGCGTTGCAGGGAGAGCGGGGTGAGAAAGGAGACCGTGGAGAGCAGGTGAGAGGAGCGGGCTGCACACGGAGGGGCTGCCTGGAGGCTGTGCTGGTGTAGCCACACCCTCTTCTTTTCTGCAGGGCAGAGACGGCCTTCCTGGCCTCCCCGGCCCCCCCGGCCCTCCTGGTCCCAAGGTGATCACCCCAGCCCTACCCGAGGCCTGTCACTGCTGTGACTACTGAGACTGATGACCCCGAGTCCACCTGTGTCATCTCCGACCCCATAGCCTTCTGTGGTCCCGTGAGCTAGAGGGCTCCTGGGGTCTCCGTAACAGACTCACCTGTCCCTGGGGCCTTGTGCTTGTAGGTGGCCATCGAGGAGCCAGGTCCTGGACTTGCTAGAGAACAAGGACCTCCTGGACTCAAGGGCGTGAAGGTCAGTGTAGGTCAGCCTACGGGCTCCCCACCACGAGACCCAGGCCTGACTGGACATCTTGCCCTCGCAGGGTGAGCCAGGCAGAGATGGTGACCCAGGCCTGAAAGGAGACAGGGTGAGGCCTCCTACCCCACCACAACCCCCCTGCATGGGCCTGCGGGGATGGGTGTACGTGTGTCCGTGGGCACGGGGCGGGGTGGGAAGCTCACAACGACTGCTTGCAGGGTGCGCCAGGCATCAAGGGAGACAGGGGAGAGCCTGGACAGCGGGGTCTCGATGGCAGTCCGGTGAGTCCTTGTCCCGCGGGCCTCCTGCGTGTGGGTGTGGCTCTCCCACGCTTTCCTATGCGTGGGGCTGGAGTCGGCGCTGCCCTGCACTGTCTGGGTCCTGCATCCGGCTGTCTAGAGGGTCGGTGTGTGTGGAAAAGCTAGCACTGGGGCACAAGGGCAGCACCGCCTTAGACTTATCCTTTCCAGGGTCTGCTGGGAGAGCGTGGCGTGGCTGGGCCTGAAGGGAAGCCGGTGAGTGGTGGCCCCAGCTCCGGGGCCCCTGCTGTGTGTGTGCATGCGTACACGTGCACGCGTGTCTGTTCCTTTGCGCACAGGCTCATGGTGCCTGTGAGAGGCTTGCTGTCTGTGGTGTCCGTGTCCGTGTCCGTGGCCCACGTGCGCTCGTCTTGAGGGGCAGCCCACGGCACATGGTCACCGGGACTGGGGGCTGGGGGTGCAAGTGGGCTCCAGAAGGTGGGAACAACATGCAGGAGGCCCAGACTGAGGCTCATCAGCTCCTTCCCATGCAGGGATTGCAGGGCCCCAGGGGAGCCCCAGGCCCGGCGGTGAGTACCTGGGGACCCTCACTTTGGCTCTCACCCCGGGCCCCAGCGCTATGGGCAGGACTGCCTCGCTTCCTGGTCGGGTGGGGCTGGCCTCCTTCATCACACTGTCCCCAACAGGGTGGCCACGGAGACCCTGGACCACCTGGTGCCCCAGTAAGTGACAGGGGAGCAGTGCCTCGTGGGGCCCAGTGGGGGGCAGGACAGGCATTGGCCGTTGCTGATGAGCCGGGCCTGGTTTCTGGGAACCCCGAGCCCAGCAGACTAGGCTGACCCCTGTCCTCTCCTCGACACTTCCTAGGGTCTCACCGGCCCTGTGGGGCCCCAGGGAGCTTCTGGCCTGAAGGTGAGTTAGGCCTGCGGGGTGTGCGGACGGAGGAGCGGGTGAGCCCTGTTCACACCCAGAGCAACGTCCGCCAGCCTCCGGGGAGGTCACTGCCTGCAGTGGGGCCAAGCACCAGGAGCCCTGCATGTGGACTCGGCTCCTGAGGTTTCCGGGTCCTTTGCAGGGGGAGCCTGGAGAGACGGGACCCCCAGGACGGGTGAGTGGCCGGTTCTCGGTGGAGGGTCACAGGGAGATGGCGGGGTGGGCACTCTCCTGACGTGTTCCTCCTCCAGGGCCTGCCTGGACCTGTGGGAGCCGTGGGACTTCCTGGCCCCCCTGGCCCTTCAGGCCTCGTGGTGAGTCACCGTGGCGGCTGCAGGGGCACCGTGACTACCCCAGGGCCCCGTGTTCTCTGTGTCCTGTGCGCCTTGCCCTGTGTCACTCGTATCCATTCCCCCTCAGGGTCCACAGGGGGCACCGGGTTTGCCTGGACAAGTGGTGAGTCCTGAGGTCAGGGGCTGGGCTGCAGGGTTAGGGGTCAGGGGTCAGCTCGCAAGTCCTGGCTGAGCTCTTCCCTTTCAGGGGGAGACTGGGAAGCCAGGAGCCCCGGGTCGTGATGGAACCAGTGGGAAGGACGGAGACAGAGGAGGCCCTGGTGTGCCCGTACGTGTCTGGGGGAGGCCGGCGGGCCTGTGTGGAGATGGTGCCCAGGTGTACATGAGGAGTGGGGCGCCTGGGATGGGGTGGGGCGGAGGCTCTGACCTCCTCACACTGCCCTGCTGCAGGGGCTGCCAGGTCTGCCCGGCCCTGTCGGACCCAAAGGAGAGGCTGGACCCGTGGGACCCCCTGGACAGGTGACTTTGATGCCGACCTCTGCCTGCACCAGCTCCTCTGCTTCACCCCAAGCCTCAGTTTCCGAATCCCCCTGGGGTGGCCTGGTGGGAGCGGGGAGGAGGGGCCAGGCCCTCACTTGGCGTTCCCCACAGGTGCTGGTCGGGCCTCCCGGAGCAAAGGGAGAGAAGGTAAGAAGTGCGGGCTGGGAGAAGGCCTGAGGGTGGGGTGGAGAATCCCAAGATCCCCTCTCCGCCCCCAGGGAGCCCCGGGAGACCTGGCCGGAGACCTGGTGCGTGAGCCGGTGAGTGTGACATCTCCAGTCGCGGGGACCTTTGGCTCATGGTTCACTAACTCTCACGACCCTTAACTCCCTTAATACGTCCCGCGCCGACCCCTGGCCTCTGCACCCTCCTGAGTCTCATCCGTCTGTGTGATGCCTGTGTTGCCTCCTGCCCCTTCTGGCTACAGGGGCCCAAAGGTGACCGAGGACTGCCGGGGCCGCGGGGCGAGAAGGTGAGTGGGCCCGGCCCCCTGGCCTGAGTGCTGGGCCGAGGGGGGAAAGGCCAGAGCCCCTCAGCACCCTTTCCGTGCAGGGTGAAGCTGGCCGTGCAGGAGAGCCTGGAGACCCCGGGGAGGATGTGAGTCTGGGGCCTGGGGGGTCCGCGCTGGGCTGAGGAGTGTGGCTGTGGAGCTCATTCTCGGGGCGCTTTGGCCCGCGTGCGGGTCACACGCTCTTGACTTCCACACCCCGAGGGCCTGGGATCCCGGCGTGCCTTCTGTGTGCCTGACTTCCTGTTCTCCCGTGCACCTGAGCCCACACTGGTGCGTTCCCGTCTGCTCTCCTGGGTCATGTGTGGGCAATTTCCCTGGCTCCTGCTTCTGTCTGTCTGAAAACACGTGCGGTCACATCTGAGCTCTCTGGGAACAGACATGGCGGTTCCCCTCCGAGCTCCACATGTGTGCTCCTGCGTGAGTTCCAGGCGCCCATAACTGTGCCTGGCTGCACACAGACCTGTGTCATGTCTGAGCTCCCTCGAGCCTGGCCTTGGTCACGGGTCTGAGTTTCTCGGGCTCAGGATCATATCTGAGCTCCCCTGGGAGTATGTCTTGGCCAAGGCTCACCTTAGTGTTCATAGTCCTACCTTTTCAAACGCTGCTTGCTTTTTTTTTTTTTTTTAGGGTCACAAAGGGGCTCCTGGCCCGAAAGGTCACAAGGTATATTTGGAAGGGTTTCTGCTGGGGAACATGGTCCTGAGACTCTGAACCTCATACAACCCTTCTTTCCCTCAAAGGGTGACCCAGGAGTTGGGGTCCAAGGCCCCCCTGGGCCAACTGGCCCTCCAGGGGTAAAGGTAAGTCAACACCCCACCACCCGCCCTGGGGCAGCAGCGGGCTGGCCCTTGGAGGTGGAAGAAGAGGGGGTTCTGGGGCTCACCGCGGGAAGGGATCTCACAGTGACCTTTTCTCCTGTTGCCGTCTCCGTTTCAGGGAGAGACAGGCACCCCCGGCTCCCCTGGGGCTCCTGGAAGTGTCGGGTTCCCGGGTCAGACAGGCCCTCGAGGAGAGACGGGCCAGCCAGGTCCCGGCGGAGAGCGGGTAAGGGGTAGAAACGGCATGGGGGGCTTGGTGACTTCAAGCTCTCCGACTGTGGTAGTGGGTGAGGAGGAGGGGCTGAGGTGCTAGCGGGGGGTCCTAATCTTGGGGGAGGGAGGAGGAAGGTTCCAAGTCACTCCTGACTCATTTTCCTGTAGGGTTTGGCAGGACTCCCAGGGAGAGAAGGTGCCCCAGGCCCTGTGGGGCCACCTGGACTGCCGGGGTCACCGGTGAGTAGAAGCGCCCCCATGCTCCAAGTCTGCACGGGAGGATGTGTGGCGGGACGAGGCCCTGCTGCTAGACCGTGTGCATGTGTGTGCGCGCTCACGTGTGTGTGTGTGTGTGTGTGTGTGTGTGTACGCGCGCTCACAGGATTCCCACCTCTCTCTGACCCACAGGGAGCGCCTGGGGCCTCGGGACTCAAAGGAGACAAGGTTGGTGCAGTGCGGCTGGCTTTCTCCCGTGCCCTGTCACCCTCCACCCTCCCCTGAGCCCCCATGGCATTCTTTCCCCTCTGATTCCCATCACTGATCCCTGATGTCCTGCTGCTCCCCAGGGAGACCCCGGAGTAGGGCTGCCCGGGCCCCGAGGAGAACGTGGGGAGCCAGGTGTGCGGGTACGTATGGCTTCTCCCATGCCGGGGAGTCGTGGCCCTGATTCCTTCATCGCAGGCCTTGCCTCAGATGTGCAGCCTCTGAGGCAGGGGACCTAATGTAACCATCCAGGGAGAAGACGGCCACCCTGGCCAGGAGGGGCCCCGAGGACTCATGGTAGGTCCCTTTGGGGGAGGTGCCAATGATGGCCCTGCCGGTGTCCCCTGTGCCCTTGGGACACTGCATTCTGCCCCGGCCCCTTCTTCTTTCCGCCTCCCTTACTTCCCCTCTGTCCTGTTCTGTCTTCCCTGCCCCTTGAGCTGCTCCTCACTAATGCCCCACGTTCCTGTAGCTCAGTCATTTTCTCTCACACAGGGGCCCCCAGGCAGCCGGGGGGACCAAGGGCAAAAGGTAAGAAGGTGGCGCGCGTGGGAGTGGGGGCGGGTCTTTGCCCTGGGGGCTCTGGCTTGGGCGAGAGCCCCCAACACTCTTCCACTCCACAGGGTGACGCTGGAGCCGCAGGGCTAAAGGGTGACAAGGTGAGTGTGGGCGTGGGGTGGGGCAGGAGCAGGGGGCCGGGTTGCTCCTGACTCCTCCGACCGCTCCTCACCTCCTCAGGGTGACTCGGCTGTGATTGAGGGGCCTCCAGGACCGCGTGGTGCCAAGGGGGACACGGTGAGGGGTCTGGCTCATGGGCAGACTGGGTCCCCGTGGTGTGGGAGGGGCTCCTGGGGGGCTTGGCCAGGGGGTCTGAGAGCTCAAGTCTCTCACCTCCTGGAAGGTGAGGGTCTGCCAGCACTTGACTCTGACCTCTGCTGCAGGGTGAACGAGGGCCTCGGGGCCTGGATGGTGACCAAGGACCTCGGGGAGACAGTGGGAACCCTGGTGACAAGGTACGGGGAGGAGGGCGGGTTCTCCACGTAGGGCCCTGCAGGCTGTGGGGAGTCCACAGCGAGTGTGTGTGGGCAGGAGGGCTGGCAGGAGGGGCTGTCTTGGGGGCCGAGGGCAGGGGCTTGTGTAGGCTGAGAGTATGGGGCTTGAGCAAGGCCCACCAGGGAGGGCAGGAAGGGAGCTCCATGGACTGTGGCACTTGGCTGTTGGGGGTGCCCTGGGGTGAGCAGTGAGCTGCTGTGGGCACCCCAGCACCACCCCACCCTGCCTGGGCTCGGGTGGGAGGAGGAGCCCCGGGATGCAGGGGGAGCGCCCCGAGGAGCTCTGCCCTGCCACGGGTGCCGGGCATCCTTGGAGGGCTGCCTGGTCCTGATTCTGGCCTCTCCTGGTTGCCCCCACAGGGTGCCAAGGGAGAGCCTGGTGAGAAGGGCACAGCCGGGCCAGTGGGAGTTCGAGGACTTGCAGGACCCAAGGTGAGCCCTGCCCCAGGCCCGGCCATGCTTCATGCCCGCCTGACCCTGGCTGTCCCCGAGTGCGGAGGGTGCCTGCTTCCCTCGCTCTGGGTGTACGGGTGGTTGCATAGGACCTGTGGGCCCTGGCCTGGGGTCACCAAGCAGCTTCCCATGTGCTTGGCCAGCCTGGGGCCCCGTCGCACTGAAGGGCTCACCCCAGTCTGCATTCCCACAGGGCGAGCCTGGTGCTCCAGGGATTGCTGGGGACCCGGTAAGATGCCCTCTTCCCGCCGACAGGGGCCCCTCCCCCCACACGACCCCATCCTCCTGGTGGTCCCACTCGTGGAGCCTCTGACTTTGTTAGTGACCCAGTATCCCGCGGTGTTCTCCTGTTGCCCAGAGACCGCCACCTCCACAGTGACCCCCTGATGATCCTGACCGTGCCCCTGGTGCCCCTTGTCCCTGTGGCAAACCTCGCCCCTCCTGTGTCCCCCCTTGATGGTCCCTGCCTGCAGTCCAGGGCGAGTCCCTCTGATCCCTCACTGAGCTCCCTTGACCTCATCCTGACCCCCCCAGGGAGCCCCAGGAAAAGATGGAGTCCCTGGTTTCCGAGGAGACAAAGGAGATGTTGGCTTCACGGGCCCCCGGGGCATCAAGGTGGGCAGGGAGAACTGCTTTAGTGTTTCGTTTCTGGCTGGGAGGGGCGTGGATGGGCCGGATGGTACGGCCCAGGGAGGACTGTGCTTGTTGGGTCGGGGGCTGGAGTACCTGCAGTTGATTGAGAGTTGGTTCTAGGGTGGAGGGCTGCCAGGAGGAAGTGCCCGGAGGTGGCTCTATTACCTGCTCTTCTCTCTCAGGGAGAGCGCGGCGTGAAGGGAGCCTGTGGACTCGATGGAGAGAAGGGAGACAAGGTACAGAGGCCGCGGGGCCGCGGGGGCCGCGGGGCTGGGACCTGAGGCTCAACCCTGCTCCCGACGCCCGCAGGGAGAAGCTGGCCTCCCAGGCCGCCCTGGGCTGGCAGGACGCAGAGGAGAGACTGTGAGTATGGGGCACCCCCGGGACAGGATAGGGTGGGTGAGCCAGGGCCAAACTCATGCTTTTTTTCTTCTCCAGGGGGAGCCTGGTGTGCCAGGCCAGTCTGGGGCTCCTGGCAAAGAGGGCCTGATCGGTCCCAAGGTACAGTCTCTCAAGAAGGGGGATAGCGGGGGTCAGGATGGGGCAGGAGAGGTCACTATAAGGTCATGAAGGCCGGGCGTGGTGGGGCACACCTGTAATCCCCGTCTCGGGAGGCTGAAACAGGAGGATCACTGTGAGTTCAAGGCCATCCTGCACTATACAGCGAGACCTTGACACCTCTCAAAAAACAAAACATACATACAAAACATAACCCCAGAAGGCCAGGAAGGCTTGGAGTCAAGGAAGGTTGTGGAGGGCTGGTTACTGGGGGACGAAGTGGGGTGGTCTTGAGATTTCAGAGTGGGTGGGGTCGCAGAAAGGGCGGAAGGTGGCGCAGGGGTTATGTGCACCAGGGCAGGGGGTAGCGGTAGGGTTGGCGTCACCGGGATCACGGAAGGTGGTGGGCATTGGCTCCAGGTGTTCAGGGGAGGGTCGGGAGGTCAGGGCAGGGGGTCTCTCACGCTCCTTCTGTCCCCAGGGTGACCGAGGCTTTGATGGGCAGTCAGGACCCAAGGGGGACCAGGGTGAGAAAGGGGAGCGGGTAAGTTGGGTTCGAGGCTGTGGTGAGCATGTTCTTTGGGAGTGGGTTCATCTTTGGGGGCTGTGCTCACTGACTCTGTCCTATCTATCCTCAGGGGCCCCCAGGAATTGGGGGCTTCCCAGGGCCCAGGGGCAGTGATGGCTCTAGTGGTCCCCCCGGGCCACCTGGGAGTGTTGGTCCTAAAGGCCCTGAAGGACTTCAGGGGCAGAAGGTAAGGGTCCCACTCTGACTCCTGGCCTTCAACTTCCCTACTGCTTTTTTTATTTTTGTTTTTGCAGCGCTGGGGGTGGAAGCAAGCACTCTCCCGGGGCCTCCCTGTCCTCCCCGCCTCTCTGATTTCTGACCTGCAGCCTGTCCTCCAATCCCCTTGCTCCAGCCTCTGAAGCTGTGATCCCCAACGTGCTTATCTTCTGATTGCCATTGACTGACCCTGCTCACTTTGTCCTTCTGTCTGACAGGGTGAGCGAGGTCCCCCTGGACAGAGTGTGGTGGGGGCCCCTGGGCCCCCCGGGACCCCGGGTGACAGAGGGGAACAGGTGAGTGGGATATTCCCGGACTTGGGCTCAGAGACTGGGGCGACTCTGGTGTCCCCGAGACCTGAGGTCACAGCCTGATCCTGTCTGCTGCACATAGGGGCGTCCGGGTCCTGCTGGCCCCCGTGGTGAGAAGGGAGAACCTGCCATGACGGTGCGTGAAGTCCAGGGGCTGGGCCCTGCCTCTCGCGCCCTGACGCCTGTGTCCTGGGCCCTGCCCAGCTGGTCTCTGCTTGAGCCCCGCGTGGTGGCGGTCACTCCTGCGGTTCATGGGCTTTCCTGGGCAGTGTGGTCTTGTGTTTCTAGGAGGATGACATTCGGGGCTTTGTGCGTCAGGAGATGAGTCAGCACTGCGGTGAGTGGGCCCAGCCGGGTGCCCTCAGGACCCCGATCCCACTCCTTCTTAGCCACTGGGGAGGGGCCTGCTGATCCCCAGAGCCTGGGGGGACGGGCGTCAAGGAGAGGGCTGGCTACGCAGCATACCTGTGCTGCCGGACAGACGCGTCGATAGACGCCTTCTCGGTGAGGGGCACACAGGCAGACGAGGTGGCGCAGCGTCCTAGCCTGGCTGTGCGTGGCGTGGCGGGGCGGAGCTGGGCCACCGGGCCTGGCGGGGAGGGGCGCGGTGACCTCAGGGCCATCAGAAGTGAAGCTGGCCTCGTCCCACCCCTGCTCGCAACCTTGTCGCTGCCTGTGCTCACCCGCCCCCGTCTGCGTCTGCGTCCTTGGCCTCTGCCGGCGGGCCCCGCCTCCTCAGTCCGGTCTGCCCTTCTTCCCCGGTCTTCCTTGGCGCCCCTCTACCTTCCTCCCTGTCCTCTCCGTCCTGTTGTCTCTGTCACCGTCTCCACCGCTGCCTCTGGGCGTCTCCACCCGCCGTGTGCTCTGCGCGCCTCTGTCTCTCACCTGCTCCTCCATCGCCCTCTGCCCTTCTCTGCCCCCTGCAGCCTGCCAGGGCCAGTTTATCGCATCCGGATCGCGTGAGTAGTTTCTTATACCGGGCACTCGGGCCGTGCTGCTCAGCAGGGGGTGGCCGGGTGGCTGTCCCCGAGCGCCCCAGTGCGTCACCGGAGCTCATCACCTGCTCTGTGCTCCAGGACCCCTCCCCAGTTACGCTGCGGACACGGCTGGTCCCCAGAGCCCCCGGCTGGTGCCTGTGCTGCGGGTCTCCCACACAGAGGAGGGTGAGGACCCGGGGCCCTGGCACTGGCATGTGCCGTGCGCGAGTCCACGTGAGGGCCTGAGCACGGGCACCTTGTGTGCATGGCTGGGGGGTCAGCGCTGCCACCTGTCCCGGGGCCGGCAGCCGCCCCTCACAGCACACCTGTCCTGCCCGCAGACCAAGTGCCCCCTGAGGACGACGAGTTCTCCGAGTACTCCGAGTACTCCGTGGAGGAATACCAGGACCCTGAGCCTCCCTGGGACAGTGAAGGTGAGGACGAGGCCTGGGCCAGAGGAGCTCGGGTAGCGCCAGTCCTTGGCCTTTCACCGACGCCCGCAGGCCCACTCTGACCCCCGCCACCTGCTGACCTGACCCCATTGGCCCCAGACCCCTGCTCCCTGCCGCTGGATGAGGGCTCCTGCACGGCCTACACCCTGCGCTGGTACCACCGGGCTGTGCCTGGCGGCACCGAGGCCTGTCACCCCTTTGTCTATGGTGGCTGTGGCGGGAATGCCAACCGTTTTGGGACCCGGGAGGCCTGTGAGCGCCGCTGCTCACCACGAGCGGGCGACAGCTCCAGAACAGGTAAGGGCCTACGCCCACCTCAGCGGGGCCTGGGCACCCAGATCTGTCCGGAGGCAGAGGCCTTGGGCAGGGTCGGGCTGAGAAGCACCCTCGGATGCAGGACCTGGGACAGATCCCCAGATCCAGGAACTGCGCCCAGAAATACAGAGGACCAAAGGCAGTTTCTGACCTTCCCACCCAGGTGCTGCCAGGAGCTGAGGCCGCCGCGATGGGCTGGTGTTCAGCATCCCCTCGAGGGGCTGGGGTCTCAGCAGGACCCGGGGGCCCCTCCCCTTGGTGCTAAGAAGGCGGTGTGCGTGTGAGCGTGGTGTACATGTCCGTTATTTCAGTGGCTGGGTCCTGTGGGTCTAGGACACACAAACTCCCATTGTGGCGGATGACTCACGGTGGGGCGGCTGTGGGCAGTGAGCAGATGTGACTAGTGTCTGACGGTCCCTTGACCCAAGCCTGTGATACTATGGTGCTGAATCTGCGGGGGGCATTAAAGCTGCTGTTTTAAAAGGCTCTCGTGACTTTCTGCGTGTGTGACTCTTTGTGCTGGGGGAGAGATATTCCCTGGTGGTGGGTCGGTGTTACTCTGCGTGGGTGGAAGTCCTGCTGCCAGGCCCTGGTCATTGTCTTGTGACCCTCAGTGTCCAGCTTGTCCCCCTAAAAAGGAGAGACACCCCCTCACTGTTCCCGGGGGGGGGTTGAGTCATGGGGGGGACTGCCTCGTGCCCTGAAATATGCCCCAGCTCCCGCCTCGGGGACTGGGGGAGGTGAGTGGACCTTGAGGAGGAGCAGGGTTGGACCGTGGCACAGCTTCAGCTGGCGGCCGCCCGACTTCACGCAGAGAAGACAGCAGCGTGGGCCGGCGTCCGCGTACGACCCGCGGTGAGTGAGCCTGGGGCTCTGGGGTCTTCGGTTCCCTCTCTGCCCCGAGGACGTGCCTCTGCTGCTTGTTTCAGCGGCCAGCTGCCCAGCTGGATTCCGTCTCCTTTTTATCATTCTGTATTTTTCTGTCTCTGAACTTTTCTGTCCATAATTCTGTCTGTCTCTGAAATGCTGTCCGCGTCTCTCCTTCCTCCACATTCCTGCTTTGCTCTGGCGCCATCCCTGTCTGTCATCTCCCTCTGCTCATCCTCACCCCTCTTTCTGCTCTCTCCCCTTCTCTTCCTCCATCTCTTCTTGCCTATTCCTCTCTCTCCCTCTCTCTCTCCTCCATCTCTTTCTCTCTATTCTGCTCTCTCCTTCTCGCCTTCTATCTCTCCCTCTCTCTTCCTCTCTCCCTCCATCTCTCTCTCTCTGCCATCTCTTCCTCCCTCTGTCCATCTTCCTCTCCACCCATCTCTTCCTCTGTCCTTCTTTCTCTCTCTGTCCATCTCCTCCTGTCTTCTCTTTGCTCTTGCCAGCTGGATCTGTACAAATCACCGTTAATCAGACCCTGGCCCTGGGTGTGTTTTCTCCTTGCAGCCAGACGCCACGATGACCAGGTGGGCTCCGTGGGTGCTGACGGTCCTCACGTCGGCCAGGGTTCTGGCTGTCCCAGTGACCCCTTCCCCAGCTTCCCAGATCCTTCCTCAGAACTGTTCTCAGACCACTCCTTGTCCTGTGGCCTCAGTGAGGCCCTCAGCGCCCACCGCCGGCCTGTCC